GGGAGGAGCCCCAGGGCTCGGCCAACAGTCCCACTCACTGCCACAGCCAGGGGAGAAGGTGGCGGCGGGATGGGGGAGATCAAGGGCAGCACGAACCCTCCCCCAGTGGAGCCACATGAGACGCTCGGGCTGCAAGCGCAGGTGCCAGGCACTCACGGGGAAGCTGCGTGAGACTCAGTTCCCAGAGCTTACGCCCAGGCTGGCGGTACGGCCCCCTCTGCTTAGCATTGCTGACTCTCGAGGCCCAGGAGGAAAGAAGGCGTTGGGCATAAAACGTGGCATCTGCGAAACCTGTGGCAAGGTGAGCCGCTCGTATCGGGAACAGCGAGGGGACCGCCCATTCCCAGCTCCCAGATGCCAGCCGAGCGCAACCTCCCACACGTGGGCCTTCTGAGGACAGCGTCCAGGCTGCTTGGGCCAGCTCTCATCTGCTGACCCCATTCTCTCCTTAGTTATCGGCAGCTTTCTCGGTATGAAGAACAGATGTGGACAGCTTCCCTGCAGAGTGGGCAGGTTACCATGCAGACATCTACAATCCCTGCAGAGCACCACGGGCAGGAAGCACCTTTCTTCTCTCCCTTAAAAGTCCTAAAAGGATTGGATACAGTGTCTCTAATCCCAGCACTTTGGGACATTGAGGAGGGAGGATTGCTTGAGCTCAGGGGTTCAAAGTCATCCTGGGTCTCAGAGAGACAATGTCACTAAAAAAACTTTAAAATTAGTTGGGCGTGGTGATGGCTGTCTGTAATCCCAGCTACTCAGGAGGCTGAGGCAGGAGAATTGCTTGAGCCCAGTGGTTTGCAGCTGCAGTGAACTGTGATCGAGCTACTGCACTCCAGCGTGGGTGACAGAGCCAGACCTTGTCTTAAAAAAAAAAAATTCCTAGCTGGGCGCAGCAGCTCAGGTCTGTAATCCCAGCATTTTGGGAGACTGAGGCGGGCAGATCATCTGAGTTCAGGAGTTCAAGACCAGCCTGGCCAATATGGTAAAACCCCATCTCTACTAAAAATACAAAAGCTATCTGGGCGTGGTGCCGGGTGCCTGTAATCCCAGCTACTCCGAGGCTGAGGCAGGAGAATCGCTTGAATCTGGGAGGAGGTTGCAGTGAGCTGAAATCACACCACTGCACTCGAGCCTGGGCAACAGAGACAGACTCTATCTTATTAAAAAAAAAAAAAAAAAAGTTCTAAAAGTCCCCAAATGATTGTCCATGTTCAGTGAGCACAGCTGTGAGCCACGGAGCAGCATCCTTAAGAATTTCAGAGTTTTAAGAAATGCAGTTTCCATTCCTATTAGTTGCCATGGGAGTTATGACAAAGACAAGCAGGCCAGTGCTTGCCTGTTTCAAATGAGAGGTGCCGAGCAGCCCTCCCCCTGGCTCTGGCAGCTCGACACGGCTGCTGCGGCGACAGGAGCTGGCCTGGTGGCCCTGAGTCTCCACTTCCGGTGTGGTTAGGGCTGATGCTCCTTAACCCTATTTTCCAAGTAAGGAGCAGAGACGTAGAGCGCTGCTGGCCCTGGGAGGCAGGAGCCATGTGAGGGCCAGAGTGGAGCTTGTCACTGGGTCTTGCCTGTCTCCAAGGGTCCAGCAGCCCTGGAGAGCAGGGCAGGCCATGCGGGTATCCTCGCTTGGGCAGCAGGTGCCAGGGTGCTGCGGAGCCAGGCTGTGCCGAACTGCGGGTCAGTGAAAGGCCAGGGCAGAGCAGTTGTGGGTGGGCCTGTCCTCACCGCAGCCAGCTCAGCTCCCCCTGGACAGGTGGGGGTCCTGCCAGCTGCTCTCATCCCCCAGTCCCAGCCTCCTCTTCTGGTCCTGGCTGTGAGGGGAGGGTATGGGGGTGGTGGTTTTCTCCCAGGCCAGTGTGACCAGCTGGAGAATGGCTTCTGGTCATGAGGGGTACAAAAAGGTAGTTTTGGGGATATCCCTTTTCTGAAACTGCGCTTGCTCAGATGAAAGGGAGGTCCAGGCCCCAGCGCCCAGCCAGAGGACTGGACAGGGAGAGACTGGGCCGCGGGCAACCAGTCTGTGGAGGGCCGTGCTCCAAAACTCTGAACATGAGACACACACACTCATGCTCAGGTGGTTCGGGGCCCAGTGCCGCAGGTCACCAAGCCACCCTGTGTCATGCCAGAGCCTGAATGACCTGTTGCAGGTTCAGACACCAGCACCCTGGCAGAAACAGCCAGTCTGCCAGGCAGGGAGAGGTGTGCACAGGGCTGTGGAGAGAACCTGGGCTCTGAGGACAGAAGACAGCCTGTGAGGACCCCCATGCTCCTGAGGCTGCACCCTCACACCCTGGGCCACATCAGGGCACCTCAGGGCTCCACTGCCAGCTTCTGTGGCTGTCATCTGCCAGCATCCCTGCCCCCTCCTGGAAGCTGTGCCATGGGCCCTCCAGGAAACCCCCTCTCTGCTGGGTCCAGGCAGATATGAGCAGGGGTGGTCTCCCTTCCGTGGTAGGCTGGAGGCTCCGAGGCCTGGGCTGGTCAGGTCAGCATGCGCCCCTCCCCCAGTGTGCATGGCGAAGAGCTGAGACCCACGTCAGGCTCACAGGACTGGGGCAGAGCCAACCTCCCACTGGGCCTGCTGACTGTAGGGGTGACCTGGAGTCGCCTGGGACCATCATTGGCTGAGTGAGGATGTGGCCAGTTCAGAAACAGCAGAGCCCCGAAAGGGGAAACGGCCTGGGCGGCCCTGGGGTGTCGTCAGGAGGGCCAGGAAATTCCCATTTTTGCTTGTCACTTTGACTTTGTTTTCTGCTGTCTGCATCAGAAAGTCCTAACAAGGACACCCACCAGGCAGGACAGGGCTCCTCGGGGGTTCTTTAGGCGTCAGCTGCCACAGGACCCCACGAACCACACAGAAGAGGCCACAGCACAGGTGCCCAGCTGGGCAGAGGTTCCCAGTCACCTTCCCCCATGTGCAAGCATTCCCGAGTGCTCACCCCTCACCCCTGCACGGCCTGAACCCTCGCTGTCCTACAGAAACACAGAGGGAATCCACATGCAATTCTGTATTTACCAGGAGCCATGTTAGAAAAGCAGAAATAGGTGAAATGCAAGCTAACTTTATTAGGCAGTCTGCTGCCCAGGCTGGAGTGCAAAGGCAAGGTCTCGGCTCACTGCAACCTCTGCCTCCCAGGTTCAAGCGATTCTCCTGCCTCAGCCTCCAGAGTAGCTGGGATTACAGGTGCCTGCCACCACACCCAGCTAATTTTTGTATTTTCAGTACAGACGGGGTTTCAATGTGTTGGCCAGGCTGGTCTTCAACTCCTGACCTCGTGATCCAAATGCCTCAGCTTCCCAAAGTGCTGGGATTACAGGTGTGAACCATCACGCCTGGCCTAACTTTATATTTCATTTAACACAACATAAGCAAAATACCATTGTTTTGACAAATCTTTAACATCATAAATCATTGATATGGGGCCCCACCTCACACAGCCCTCTGTCATCTGAGAAAGTCAGGAAAGGCAGAAGCTGAACAGGAAGCCTTCACCTGCAGAGCCCAGTTCACCCAAGGAAACCATGCGGGCGCAGAGGGAATGGCACAGGAAAAGATGAAATTCTGTTACAAAGTATCTACACTGGCCCAGAAGAACTGAAGTAAAAGACCAAATTCTTGGCCGGGCGCGGTGGCTCAAGCCTGTAATCCCAGCACTGTGGGAGGCCGAGGCGGGTGGATCACGAGGTCAAGATATCGAGATCATCCTGGTCAACATGGTGAAACCCCGTCTCTACTAAAAATACAAAAAATTAGCTGGGCATGGTGGCGCATGCCTGTAGTCCCAGCGACTCAGGAGGCTGAGGCAGGAGAATTGCCTGAATCCAGGAGGCGGAGGCTGCGGTGAGCCGAGATCGCGCCATTGCACTCCAGCCTGGGTAACAAGAACGAAACTCTGTCTTAAAAAAAAAAATTAAAAAAAAAAAAGACGAAATTCTGTAACAAAGTATCTTTCTAAGGGAGACCCCACTCAGTACTGGGCAAGGCCTGCCGACTGCTGTCAGGACTGGGGCCCGCAGGCAGGGCGGGAGGGTGCGCTCTGGAAAGCAGTCACTGCACACCCATAGACACATGAGATGGAAAAGCAGCAGCCCAGGGCTGTCACCCCTGGATGGTGAAACTATGGGTGGTGTCTACTACTTTCTCTGGTATATCTTTATGGTAAAAAATCATGAATTTAAGAAGTTAAATTGTTAAGTGAGGTATTTCATTTTTTTTTTTTTGCACCAAGTCTTTCAAATCTGAGTGTAATTTACATGACCAGCACCTCCCAATCCTGACAGCCACGACCGCCCAGACCCCGCATGTGGCCCATGGCCCCCATACTGGTCAGCACAGGTGGGTCTGTGCCAGTCCGCAGCCAGCAGTCCGGCACCCAGTGTGGCCCCCGTCCTCACACACCACGTGAGCACCGCGGGGCGGGTGTGACACCCCCCCACCCGTCAGGAGGCTCCGGATTGGGGACAGTCGGGTTTGAACGCAGGTGTGCCTGGGGTCCTCCCTCGGGGAACTCACTCCTGAGTCTCCAGGTCGGCTCTGTGACCCCTGACCCCGCACCTGCGCACCAGGGGACATTCAGCCTTTCCGCTCTCCGGACCTCGGGGACACCAGATCTCTGCTCAGCAAGGGGGAAAATCACCCGTGGCTAAGCCTGGAGCCCCGGGGGGCACCCGGGAGGGAGTCCCACGCGGCTCTGAGACGCAGGTCCCAGCAGGGCGGCGCGAGCGGCCCCGTCCTGCTTCCGGGTGGCCACGCCTCGCGCTCACCTTCCCAAGCGCAGAGGGCGGGAAAGGGGAGCCGGCGGGGGCAGGGCCCGGGAGCACCCCGACACCCCCCTGCAGGAAAGGACGCTGCCCGGGCAGCGCGGGTGGTGGCCGGTGACGCCGCGCCCCGCGGGGCTACCCCCTCCGCGGCGCCGCCCCACCTTCCCGCCCCCGCGGGGCCTCCCCCACCGCGACCCGGCCCCACGGCGCAGCCGCATCCCGCCGCCCGCACTCACGTCGTCCATGAGCAGGAGCAGGATGTTGGGGGGCTGCGGGGCGCCCGAGGCCCCCATCCCCGCGGCGCTCAGCACCAGCAGCAGCCGCCACCACCTCGTCGCCGCGACAACCGCCGCCATGGCAACACGGGACCGCGCAGCCGGCACCGGCGAGCGGACCGCGAAAGACGCCGCCAGCGCTTCCGGCCGCACTGAGGGGCGGGGCCAGAGCCCGCGAAGCGGCGGGAGGCGGGGCCCGGACGGCCGCGTGACCCGTGGGGCGGGGCCCTGACGGCCGCGTGACCCGTGGGGCGGGGCCTCAGGCTGCGGAGTGACGGAAGGCGGGGCCTGGACGGCCTCGTGACGGGTGGGGCGGGGCCAGAGCCCGCGAAGCGGCGGAGGCGGTGCCCGGACGGCCGCGTGATCTGTGTGGCGGGGCCTGAACCTGCGGAGTGACGGAAGGCGGGGCCTGGACGGGCTCGGGACTCGAGGGGCGGGGCCAGAGCCCGCGAAGCGGCGGGAGGCGGGGCCCGGACGGCCGCGTGACCCGTGGGGCGGGGCCTGAGCCAGCCGCGTGTGGGCGGTGCTCCGGAGGCCGCGTGACCGGCGGCGGGTCACGTGACGCGGTGCCCGGCGCCGGGCCTCCCAAGATGGCGGTGTGCGTCGCGGTGATCGCCAAGGAGGTGCGTACTCGCGGCGGGGCCGTGCGGGCCCGCACCATCCTCGCCTCTGCACTGTCTTTCTTCTTCTTCCCTGGGCCTGGAAGGCGCCTTAGGAAATGGGACCTGGAGGCCTTCGCCGAGCTCCAGGCGTCAGGCGCTCCGCGGTGGACTGGCCGCTCGGCAGACCCTGGGCCCCCAGCTCCGCGCTCGCCCGTCCCGCTGCTGAACGCCCCGCTCTGCTCCCCAGGCCTCCTCCCCGCCAGGACCCACCAGAAACCTAGGTGGTCCGAGGCACTGCCTCCGTCCTCCGTCCTCGGGAGGTTCTGCCTGTTCTCCCGTCCAGCGCTGGCGCCCCCCGACGGCGTCCCCGGCCCTCTTGCCAGTCTCCCCGGTACCACCTTAAACACAAACCAGATCCTGTCACGCCTCTGCCTGAAATCTCTGCAGTGGCTTCTCATTGCCCTGGGGTGCTGTCTGCATACCCTGGTTTGAGATCTTCTCTCCCCATAACCCTTGCATCCTCCGCTCCAACCAGACTGAATTCTGCAGCTCCCTGGGCAGGCTCTGCCCTCTCACCTCTGGGCGTTTCCACGCGGAACATCTCTCCCTAGCTCCCATCCTCTTTACTGGGCCACATGCATTTCTTGTGGAAGGCATTTTCTGAAGGCCAAGACTGAGCCGGGTGCCGGTCCACGTGCTCCTGCTGCCTGAAGCCTTTATTTCCTAGCCGTGGCCTCCCTCGAGACCAGATTCTGAAGGCCGCTCCCTGTGGGGCCGTGGGTGCTGCTAAGCTTCTCATGGGTTCCCTCCTGGCATGGGCCACACATGATCCTTTGCTTGCTTGTGGGTTTGCTGAGGATGTATCACGTGGCTCCACGAGGGTGGCCAGGACTCTTGTTCATGGTATTTCTGCAGGACCCAGTGCTGAACAGACACAGGGTGAATGGTGGCCTGTGAAAGCCCAGGAAGTGAGCTGTGAACTGTGGGCTTAGGATGGTCAGAACTGCAGAGATGAAGGGTATTTGAGCCGAGTCTTTGAAGGATTTAGTAAAAGGTTGCTGTCAAGGTGAAGAAAAGCCAGCATATAGGGTGCTGCCGTGTTTGGGTGACCCAGGCAGATGTGCTGAGGCAGAGTGTCCTCCAGGAGAAGGTGACAGGCCTGCCCAGGTGCCAGGCTGGATCCTCAGGCTGTGCTCAGGCCCATTTTTCTGAATTGTCTTTTCTTTTCTGCCCACCCTGCTGCTGCTGCTTTGCAAACAACACATAAATCTCCTTAGGTGACATGGGATCCCCCGAAGGCAGTGCCCACCGAGGCATGGAGAGTGAAGCATTGGGCCTTAGAGAAGGAGAATGTGTTCCCTCAGTGGCTGCAGGTCACAGCTCTGCAGCATTGTTCAGAGCTGGCTGGGTGGAGTCTTGTCCTTTGAGACGCCAACATCCTTTCTTGCAGAATTACCCTCTCTACATCCGCAGTACCCTCACGGAGAATGAGCTGAAGTTCCACTACATGGTACACACATCTCTGGATGTGGTGGATGAGAAGATCTCTGCAATGGGAAAGGCCCTTGTCGACCAGAGGGAGCTGTACCTGGGCCTGCTCTACCCCACGGAGGACTACAAGGTGTATCTTTCAGTGCAGGGTGTAGGTGGGGGGGGGGGGCGGGGGGGGGGGGCGTACGATGGGATGGACTTTAGGATCAGATCATTTGAAACCTTTCAGAAGAAAAAAAAAAAGAGGTGAGGGTTTTAGCCAGTCAGGGAACTAGGGAAGCCTGAGGCAAATGAAGGCCTCTCACTCTTCTTTTGCATTGGAAGAATCGTTTGGGAAGAGAAAGGCTAGAATTCTGGCCGGGCGCAGTGGCTGACACCTGTAATCCCAGCACTTTGGGAGGTCGAGGCAGGTGGATCACGAGGTCAAGAGCGGATCACTGGCCAATGTGGTGAAACCCCATCTCTACCAAAATTAGCCGGGCATGGTGGTGGGCACCTGTAATGCCAGCTACTCCAGAGGCTGAGGCAGGAGAATCGCTTGAACCTGGGAGGCAGAGGTTGCAGTAAGTCCAGATCGCACCACTGCCCTCCAGCCTAGCAACAGAGCGAGACTCTGACTCAAAAAAAAAAAAAAAAACCCCAAAAGGCTGGAATTCCCTGTGAAATATTTTGGTTTACGTGTCCATTGTCTGGTTTGCAGAAGAGCTGGGACACTCCTGCTTTGTACCTGCAAGGATATCTGTCTGTGATTTTCAAGGGCAGCTACCACCTTTAAGCATGGGATAATAGTTTCATTTATCTTGTTAGGTCATGCCCCATATGTCACTAGAAACTCTCGCCTAGCCCCTTGAGACAAATCATTTGAGGCCATGGGGTACAAAGACCTTCCCAGGAGCTGTAATGTTGCTTGTCCACGTGACATTCCTGCCACCCACTGTGTTACAAGGTAATGTGGCCTCTAGAGAGGGGATCCACCTTGTTCACAAAATCTCTGGTTTTGCAGTTAACTTTCTGGGCCAGGCATTGATTTGTAAAGAGGGGCAGGCGTTCCGCATAGACGGACTCGGAGTCTAGGTGGCTCGGCTCCCAGAGCATGAAGCTGGGTGAGGCTTGGCTGCCTGCCCTTTTGCTTCTTCTGCAAACACCAGGCGTCACCCTGGCGAAGTCTTTACACTAGCACCCAGCACGGTCACTGCAGGACCAGCGCAGCCTGGGCGTTTCTCCAAAGTGAGGGCACACAGAGGGCCCTCCGCCGCCAGGTGCCTCGTCTGCTGTCCCAGCAGTCCCTTTGTCACGAGTGCCTTCCCTAACCAGCTGTGCAGATACGGCTATGTCACCAACTCCAAGGTGAAGTTTGTCATGGTGGTGGATTCCTCCAACACAGCCCTTCGAGACAACGAAATTCGCAGCGTAAGTCGGGTTGGAAGGCCATGCCTGAGTGGGTGTTTTTTCCTTTTTCACTTTGTTTTGAAATGCTGAGAAACCAAAAACTGGGCCCTGACTGTGTGCGTGTGGTCATAAACTTCGCCAGGTCTTGTTTCAGATGTTCCGGAAGCTGCACAACTCCTACACGGATGTGATGTGCAACCCCTTCTACAACCCGGGGGACCGCATTCAGTCCAGGTGGGCCCTGCTTTCTGTGTCTCACCACGTTCTTTCTGCTTTGCCGTTTCGGTTGCCAAAATGCAACCATTTAGGAAATAAGGGAGGAGAAGAGAAAACAAAAGGAAATAAAAAGACGAAAGAAAGGAAGGGAGGAGGGGCCTCTTTAAGCTCTGCGCACCACCCGCTAAGGCCGAGGTTTTAAGGCTGCAGAGCCCTGTTTTTCCACACCAGCTTTTACACAGCTCTGCTCGTAAAGTGGATGACAGCAGCGTGTGTGTGTGTGGTGCAGGGAGCAGAGCTCGCCCATTCGGCTTCCCAGGTGTGCCCAGTGGGTACCTGGGGCACCTGCAGGACTCAGTAAGGGCCAAGCACATGGGCAGTGGCTTTCAGGGAGCACATGTCCTCTTGTCACTACCCGATCTTTTATGTTGAATTTGGACAGTCAGGAACCTGGTGGCCGGCATCTTCCCAACAGCCCACAAAGTAAACAGACTTAACTTTTGAACATCAGGAAGGAAACAGGGTCCACGCCTGCACTCCAGACGTGCTTCCAGCAAGTGCCCAGTTCCTTGCTGGCTGGTAGGCACGACGGTCCTGCAGTGACCCAGGCCAGGCCCTTCCCTCCACCAGGACACTGTCTCGGGGCCCTCCTGGGTCCCAGATGGGAGCAGGCAGGCAAATGTCTGCGCAGCCTTGTCTCCTGGGCTGCATGGAGCTGTCCTCGCCACACCACCACCCCGCAGGGCCATGCTCTCTCCATCCCAGCCTGGGGCCTCAGAAGACTGCGCAGGGAACTTGAAGGCAGCAGATAGGTCCTCTCTGCCCGGGGGGTGGGACTCCTGTCCTGGCCTCAGCCAAGTTTACATTTTTGGACCCTAGAGAAGGCCCCAGGCATCATGTGGACGGGGTCATGCTGTCCGGCCTTTCTCTGTGAGCAGAGGGTTGAAGGGCCTAGCTCCTCTGAGTGGGTTCATTTCTCTTGGCAGGGCCTTTGATAACATGGTGACGTCGATGATGATACAGGTGTGCTGAGGGAGGGCTCTGCTGCCGGCCATCACAGAGGAGCCTGCGCACAGCCGTGGTGGGGCCTGTCTATTCTCCTCGCCTCTTCCTCAATGGGAGGCCCAGGGCTTTTGGGGCAGGGCCTTGGGCATGTGCATCTCAACTAAAGGTCTTCTGCGATGAGATTTGGCTTTTTCCTTCCGTGTCAGCCGAGGATTTAACTAAGAAGAGTTCAGCTAAGGACTTTGAGGGGTGTGGCAGAGGATGGGGGTCAGACGGCGCAGGAAGCCTGTCCCTGGTGTCCTGAAGGGCTGGAGGCAGGCGCGCCTGGAGCCGAGAGTTGCTGAACTTGCAGGACCTGTGACCGTGCGGGCCGCCCATGGGCGGAACGGGTGGGCTGGTCTGGAGGGGCAGTCCTCCTGAACCCAGACCCAGCCTAGGATCTAGGGCAAGTGGGGAGCTGGCGTACCTTCTCACGAGCAAGAGCCCTCCTCTTTCTGGACTTGTCCTCCATTCTTTCGAATCTGGCCCCACGTCTGGACTCAGCCTCGGCCTTAGAAGGAGCTCTCGCAAAACCTGGGACGCCTTGTGGCCCCTCGGTGTCAGCTCAGCTGCGGCCGGCTTCCTAAACCCTGGAGTGCAGAACTGAGGCGCCCCTTGCTGCCTGTTGGTGCCAAGGGGGTTAGGTGTTGTGTGGCTCGATGATGTGGCTGAGTGGCGATGGCCTGGGGCAGCGGCTGAGCCCACAGCATATCCTTGCTCCCAGTGGCATCCGTGTGCTGGCGTCCCTACGGTCCAGCATTCAAGGCTCACCAAGCTAGGGAGATCCCCGGAGTACGTTCCAGCACTGGTCCAGGATGGGAGAGTTTCTCAGGGACCTACAAGGACCCCAGAGGCCCTACCGCAGGAAAGGCTGTAAGGAGGGTTGTCCTGGGGCAGAAGACCTCAGGGTAACCTTCCTCCCCCAGGCCTCCTGGGGCAGGAGGGTTCAGCCTGGGGCAAGAGGGTTATCCTGGGGCAGAAGAGTCAGCTTGGGGCAGGAGGGTTCAGCCTGGGGTGGGACATAGGGAGGGGAACTTTATACATATTTGCCTTTCCATCCGTTCCAACAAGCACAGTGCTAATTTTATAAATTATAGAAGTCAGGAGTGTGTGTGTGCAAACACAGGCGTGCCCCAGGCCTCTCCGCGCCAGGGTGGATTGGAAGTCCTGGAGTGCGCTGAGGCAGGGCTGGGTGCCTTTGGGCCACAGGCCACCTTCACTGGGTAAATCTTTAACAAGAGCCTCATGCTTGTTAGGAGAAGGCAGGACCCCAGCCAAGCACCTGTCCCCTGCAGCCCAGCATGAAATCTTCCGCTTTTAGTGGGGATCACCCCTGCCTGAGTCCTGGCTGTGCTGGGGACTGCAGGTTGCTAACCCAGCGTCCGTTCTTCCTCCCTACTATCAGAACCCCAGTGCCGCTGTCCGGTTCTGATGATGGGGCAGACGAGCCACCTCCTGGCCTCCCTGACAGCTGGGTGTGCAGCTTTGGCATGGAGGGGATGGTGCTGGGGGAGACTTGCAGGGGCGCTCCCATGAACGGGGCTCGGCTGGCACGTGCCTTCTTTCTGTCCACAGCATGGACACTGGCACTGGTGTAGCTGAGAGCGTGGAGAAGGAGCCGCACCCTGAGGGCAGTGGAGCAGAAAGCAGGAAGGACCTGGGCCTTTGCTGATGCACCCGCCCCGGACTATTGTGTTCAGTTTTGTTTTTTAAATGTGAGAAAATAAATGTATCCCTCTCTGGTTTAAATCACTGATATTTGGGTTTTCTATTAGGTGTAGCCAGGCCCACCCTAAGTGCTTTATACATTAGGGAGTTTTCACAAGTGTTTTCATAAGTGTTTAAGCCCAAGAAAACAGAAGTCATCTGCTTACCCCTGATCTGACAGCGGAACAGCCACGTGGCAGCTTCGCACTGTCTTCACGATGGGGCTGGCCTCGTGGAGGGCCACAGCCGTCCTGCCCATCCCTTCGTCGACCCAGGCAGCTTCTGCTGGAGGCCACGTGGGCAGCCCTACCTACCTCCCTCTAGGCAGCAGCCATCCTGCCTCTTTCCTTCCGCTGCTGGCCCTGGAAGAGGAGCCTGCTCTTGTTCGCTGCCCGCCCAAGCCAGCCAGAGCATCCGCTTTCTCCACGCAGCCACAGGCCTCCACCGGCCATGGTCAGGGTCTCATCACCAGTGAGGCGCGCTCTGAGGGCTTCCCCCAGCCCCCTCCACCTTGGCCTGTTTGGGCCTCAAGTCCACAGAAAGCAGGGCCGCCCCAGGATCCCTCCACTGTCTGCTTGCAGTAGCTGCACAGAGGCTGAAAATGGACAGGAACTCACTGGCGAAATGGGCCAGAACACCTCCAGGGAGCCGACAAACCCATGGGCATGATCCCCATCAAGGTCAGCAGCAACTCCTCACTGAGGGCAAGAGCCTGGGCCCAGATGCTGAGCAGGCAGGGCTGCCACCTGCACAGTGCTGTGCGTGCCCTAGTCCCCCTACAGGCCCCCGTAGCCCCTAGCTGTGAGCAGTCTGTACCAGGCCCACCCTGGGCTGCTGGGCAGCTTGACCCCCTTCTGGACTGGGCCTGGTTCTCACTCTGATGCTGGGACAGCTCCCACAAGTCCACCCTGAAGCCAGACTCTAGCTGTTGGCATTTTTCCCTCCCTGGCAAACCAGTGGAGGCCTGGGCAGAGCAGCTCACAGACCACAGGGCCCAGGGGCTCCGGAGTGGACCTCAGGTGAGATCAGGGCAGGTCTTGGAGGGCTGTTGGCGGCTCCTTGGTCGGGTATCTTGATAATTAGTCTCAGTCTCCCGGGCCACCGTAACAGAGCCCCACATAGAGGGGCTTCAAACCCCGGGAATGCATTCCCCCCCAACCCCAGCGTGGAGGTGGAAGTGTCAAGACCGGGTGTAGCCAGGGCTGGCCCGCTCCGGCCTTTGCAGCCGCTGCTGCCCCTGCCGTCCTCGGCCTTGCGACGGCCTCTGCCTCTGTCCTCACGCAGCCTTGGAGCGTCTCGTGGTCTCTCTAATCAGTGTGTGGTCAGGTTTAGGGAACCCAAGCGTCTGTTCGGGTAACCATTGGTCCAGGTACCTCAGGACGACCTTCAAGCCTTTCACTGAATCACAACTGCAAACACTCCTTCCAGGGGAGGCCATGTGCACAGGTTCTGGGGATTAGGACATGGGCATACTTTGGGGGCATCATTCCCCCCACTATAGAGGCCAACCTTGACCCAAGACCCCAAGGTAGGTGTGGGGCTGGTTTGGGGAGGAGATCGGCGTGGGTGGGGAACAAGGAGAGCCATCCCGGGAGCAGCGTCTAGCCTGGTACTGGAGGAGGGTGGCTGAGGGTGAGTGGCACCAGCCCACTGAACAGGAGCTGCTCCGCACAAAGCCTGATGGGGCCGAGTGGAGGCGCTGTGAGCCGTGGAATGCAGGATTTGGGTGGGCAGGTGGGCAGGTGGGCAGCCTTGGGTCTGGACCTGTGCAGCTGTGCCTGCAGCCAGGGAGCCTGACTGACTCTGTTGCCAGGGGGGACAGTCGTCAGAGTACCCAGGACAGAGACCTCTACTGCTTCCTGAGCTGCTGACAAGGGCCAGGCCTGTGCCAGGAGCCTCCCGAGTGTCTGTGTCACCTGGTGGGGGACTTGCACCCTGGACATGTGGGCGAGGGCAGGGTCATGGTGTGAGGGCACCTTGGCTTACACACGGGCAGTCGCAGCCCGTGAGGCTGGCGGTGACGTGGACGCTGCCTCAGCCTGTGCACACTGTCTGCTGTCGGGTGCGGTGGGGCCGGAGCCCTGTCCTGGGCCCACAGCCACGTCTCACCAGCCGCTCTCCGTGTTCTGTCCCAGAAGACTTAAAGGGAACTGTGTCGACGGCGAGAACACAAGGGATGAATACAGATACTGCCATTTGCTTTTAAAAAATGTTCCATTTTAATAATTTACGTTTCACCATTAAGACACACGTTTCTGTTTAAAAAGAGTTAGTTGAAGAGCCAAGCATGCCAAGCCGGAGCTGGCCTGGCACTGCCTGGGCTCCGCTTCCCCCCACGCCTCACTGCCCAGATCCCCTTGGAGCCCAGTGGCACCCGTGCCCAGCCCACTACCGGGCCGTGGCTGTGACTCATGACTATGGCCATGAGTGGACCATTCCCCTCTGGCCAAGTGGGGGGCCCACGGCTGCTCTTCTGGACACCCCTCTCCTCTGGCCTCGCCCCCACCCCACTCCCCACCGGCCCCAGCCCCCTATGGGGCACAACAGGTTTACTTGGGACCCAGCCCCCAGTCCCTCTCTCAAAAGCAGGCCCTCCTATTAATACGGTGAGAACCACGGTGAGACTCTTCCACGTGCCCTGCACAGAAAGAGAAGGCAGGGTGAGTGGCCTTCCAGAGGGGAAGCTGGGAGGTGGCCTAAGGCCTCCCAGGACAGCAGGATAAGGATGCAGGCGGTCACCCAGCTGCTCAACCGATGCCCCAGGGGGCCTTTCTGGTGACTCCCAGCTGCTCTCTTGGGAAGGTGCCAGGAGAGCCCCTTGGGGCAGCTGTAGCCCACCCCAGAGCCTTTGTAGGAACAAGAAGGGATCCTGTCTCCCAGCAGAGAGGCTCCAAGAAGCCCTCCCCACCCCAGCCCTCAGCCAGGCCCTGCCAGGTACATTCCTGTAGACACGCTCCTGTCCCTGATCCCCAGACCCTAACGGCCCCCCTTCCATGGCTCTCACCCCCAGGCTGCCCCCACAGGCACCCACTCACTGGTTCTGCCCTCGTGGTCTGAACCGGGGCCTGCCCTGGAGGCTGCTGTGGGGGAAGGGTGGCCCCCTGGAGCCTGGGTGTCCTCGAAGTCCCCCGCGGTCTGTGGAGCTGATCCCAGGGAAGTTGGTTCTTTTCGGCAGCACCTGGAGCAGAGGCCTGTACCGAGTCCTTCTCGAGGGGCAGCTGAGACCCAGCCCGAAGCCCCCAGCACCGCGGAGCAGGGGGTCCTGCCCAGCTCAGGATGCCATTCAGGGTCCCTCTGCCTTCGCCCACCACCGCTGTGGTCACGTGACACCGTCACAGCCAGCACCCCTGCGGGGGGGACCCTGCTACACCACGCCACTCACAGACCAAACCAGCTTCAGGTCTGAGGGTCCCATCACACCCTGTCCAGGCCCAGCCGCCCACCATGCCTGAGACGCGCTGTGCTGGGGCTGCGGTGTGTCCCAGGGCCAGGGGGCCAGCCCCTCCGTGCCCACGTTTGTGGACCTGGTGACCCCGACGCACCTTGATGACGCGGCCGCGGAAGAGGCTCTGGTCCAGCTGCATGGCGGCCTGCACAGAGCCCTTGGTGGCAAACTCGATGTAGGCATAGCTGGGGGGTGGGGAGGGGAGGGGTGAGGCCAGGGCCCGTCCGCATGGCCAGCACCCGCCAGGCGCCACACTGACCCCTTGGGGTGTCCAGAGAACTTGTCGCACAGGATGGTGACTCGGTAGACCTTCCCGCAGCAGCTGAAGTGGGCCTCCAGCTCCTCCGCCGAGCCCCCGTAGTCCACCTGGACGGGACCCAGGCCAGCCCCGCACATGAGGGAGACGCTGGCCTCTCCCGGGGCTTTCTTGGTAGAAATGGGGGCAGAAACCCCAAGACTGGGCCCCACGGAGGGAGGGGAGAGGAAAGCGTATCTCATGTGGCGCACTCCCTCCTGAGGGCTGGAGCCTTTTAAAAAGCTCCACATTGGAGATTTCATGTGCAGTCCTGAATTCCAGCTCATGTGGGCAAACTAGAACTCAGGCCCGGGCCTGCGTTTCCTCGAGGGGACAGCCTGGCTGCCCCCAGCATCAGAGCCCCTTCCCTGCAAGCCTGTCTGGGGCAGGGAGCTGGACCCCCAGAAGAGAAGGGGCCCCACTCGCCACCTGCACTTCCCTGCCCACACTCACATTGCCCACATAGACGGATCTGTGGTCAGCCTCCACCTTCTCCTCGGGGGTCCCAGGGATGGGGTGGCCTGCGGAGAACATGGCTCAGGCCTGCAGGCCCTGGGCTCCTTCCTCACTCCTCTCTCGGGAAGGTCGCCCTGGCGTGTGGGGCCTGCAAGGCCCAACCCTCATGGAAACTCCGGGACCCGGCCTGGGCCCTCGTTCCTACCTGCTGCCTCGGGGCTCAGCAGCTGCCCCGCCACAGCGTCCTCCTCTTCCCGGCGCTGTGCCCCTGGAGGCTGAGGCAGCCCCTCGGCCTGCTCCATGGCCCACACCTTCATCTTGATGGCCTCCAGCTCCTGCGGACACGAGTTCCTGAGCGGGGCAGGCAGCCAGCAGGCATGCTCCGAGGAGGACAGGCATGTGGCCTGCCAGCTCCAGCTGAGGGTCACACCCTAAGGGGGCAGCCAGCCCTTCTCTGGCAGGGACACTACTTTCTGGGGCAGCTGACTGGGGTGACAAACTCACCCCTGCAACCCCCACCTCAAGGGCCCTTCTCTGGGCCAGAAAGGCCACCTTGACTCCTCCGGTCTGTGCGGCTGGGGGCTCCTCTCCCCTCCTAAATCAGCTGCAACCGTCTGTCACGGAGACCCTGTGTCTCCGCCAGCCCCCGTGGCCCAGGTCCCCTGAGGTCCCCAGGGCCTCCACACTGCTGTTACCTGGTCAGGCATGGGGAACTCAGCCAGACTGTCTTGCTCCAGCAGAGACAGCAGGAAGCCTTCATCTCCGTCCTGGTCTTCCTCTGCCTCCCCTTCCCTCTCCTCCTTCCCTTCCCCACCCTCTGGCTCCAGAGAGTTCTTGGTCTTGTTCCAGGCCCCCCAGCCCTGGGCCTCAGGGTCCGAAGAGACTGTCTGGAGCCAGGCCTGAGTCGGGGGCGGGAAGAGAGAGCAGCTCGGGACGGGCCACATAGTGGAGGGGCAGGAGGAAGGCGGGCCCGGCGAGGCTTCCCTCCACTCCTCCCGAGTCCGCACCTGCCTGGGCCCTGCTGGAGTTTTCAGCCTTCCCCGGAGGCCAGCTGCTCCCACTGGACCATTTGCAAAGGCTGAGTGGGGGCTGAGCTTCCAGCCTTGGCTCCTGGGGCCCTGCCTTTCCCTGTCCCTCGGACAGGCACCTCTGGGAGACTCCCTGGAGGAAGGAGATGCTGAGTGGAGCTGGTTGGTCTCTTCTGCATACACCCAGCCACACTGCAGCTCCCTGGAGCCTGCGTCCGTCCCGAGGTTCACGCCTAGGCAGCATCCACACGGCACGGACACCACACGGCACAAACACCACATGGCACGAACACGCAATCTGAGTGGGACACAGCAGCGGTTCCTTCTGGAACATGGGGCCGAGCAGGCTGGGGAGGTGGCTTCCGACCAGGGGAAGCAGGGGCTGAGATGGCCCCGGGGGAGGGAAGGGCCAGAACAGGCCCGAGGGCAGGCGCCTGGGTTGAGAGACCAAGGGCAGGCACCTGGGTTGAGAGACCAAGGGCAGGCACCTGGGATGAGAGCCCGAGGGCAGTTTGGGGCGGGGTCCTGGGCCAGAGGAGGGGCAGCAACTGCTGTCTCTGCACCCCAGCCCCCGTGGAGTCCTCAGGCACCCTCATCCCCATAACACTCACTCTAGGTGTTCTTCTTCTTCTTCTTTTTTTTTTTTTGAGACAAGAGTCTTATTTTGTTGCCGAGGCTGGAGTGCAGTGGCGCGATCTCAGCTCACTGCAACCTTTGCCTCACAGGTTCAAGTGGTTCTCCTGCCTCGGCTTCCCGTGTAGCTGGGATTACAGGCACCTGCCACCACATCCGGCTAATTTTTTTGTATTTTTAATAGGACAGGGTTTTGCCATGTTGTCCAGGCTGGTCTTAAACTCCTGATCTCAGATGATCTGCCCACCTCAGCCTCCCAAAGTGCCGGGATTACAGGCGTGAGCCACTGTGCCCAGCTTGGGTCATCTTTTAGATGGGAGCCACTTACAGGAAGCCAGAATTCTTCTGCTGTGGGGCTGGGGGTCTGTGGGGAGTGGCAGTGTGAGTCACTGTGGCGGAATTCCATGGGGACCCGGTGGTGTCTGCACCTGGCCTCAGCCCTGCAGGGTTGCAGCAGGACGTGACCCGCGCCCAGCCCCCCGCCTCGCTCTGCACCTGCAGTGTGGCTGCTTGACTCGGCTCTGGCCCCTCCCGTGCTGCCGCCCCCCACCCACTCTGTGAGGGACTTGGGGCCCAGGGGTCATGCTTGGTCCCTACCGTCGGCGGGCGGCGGGGAACAGCTGCCACCCCCTGGCTGAAGCTGGCTTCTCTGTGACTCCACCCCCGTGTTCATGTGGGACCCCTTCCCTGGGAATTTGGGACTGCAAGAGGAGAGAGAGAGACAGGCCATGGCCTAGGCTGGAGCTCTGCTGCTGCACCGTGTGCCCCCCCCAAGCAGGGCGGCCCTTCCTCCCACCTTGGGCTGGGGCTCAGGGGCAGCAGGTGGGACATGGAGGCTGCCACAGCCCAGGAAGCAAGGCTCCTGCACTGGTCCCGGTGGCCGGTTCTGTTCTTACCTCTGTAAACCAGAAGGTGTCTGAGACGGGTCTCAATCACTTCAGAGATGTATTTTGCCAAGGTTAAGGGCACAAAGCTACAGGAAACATCTGTGGTCTGCTTTTTCCAAAGAGGGTTTGGAGGCCCAGCGAGGTGGCTCCCACCTGTAATCCCAGCACTCTGGGAGGCCGAAGCAGGAGGATCACTTGAGGTCAAGAGTTCAAAACCAGTGGCCAACATGGTAAAACCCCATCTCTACTAAAAATACAAAAATTAGCTGGGTGTGGTGGCGTGTGCTCGTAATCCCAGCTACTTGGGAGGCTGAGGCGGGAGAATCTCTTGAACCTGGAGAGGTGGAGGTGGCCGTGAGCTGAGATTGCATCACTGCACTCCAGCCTGGGCACAGAGCGAGACTCCGTCTCAAAAACAACAACAAAACGACAACAAACAAACCCAAAAAACAATCAGCCGGGTGTGGTGGTGCACGCCTGTAATCACAGCTACATGGGAGGTGAGGCAGGAGAATCACTTGAACCTGGGAGGCGGAGGTTGCAGTGAGCTGAGATCGAGACTCTGCACTCCAGCCTGGGCAGCAGAGCCAGACTCCGTCTCAAAAAGCCAAAACCAAAACCAAAAAACCCCAAAGAGGGTTTGGAGACTTCTACATTTAAAGAGGAAAGAAGGGCCGGGCGCCGTGGCTCACAGCTGAAATCCCAGCACTTTGGGAGGCCGAGGCGGGTGGATCACGAGGTCAAGAGATCGAGACCATCCTGGTCAACATGGTGAAACCCCGTCTCCACTAAAAATACAAAAAATTAGCTGGGCATGGTGGCGCGTGCCTGTAATCCCAGCTACTCAGGAGGCTGAGGCAGGAGAATTGCCTGAACCCAGGAGGCGGAGGTTGCGGTGAGCCGAGATCGCGCCATTGCACTCCAGCCTGGGTAACAAGAGGGAAACTCCGTCTCAAAAAAAAAAATAAATAAATAAAATAAATAAAAAAAATAAAGGGGAAAGAAAAGGGCAGGCGGATAAAAGAGGCAAGCGCTGTGTTCCTTTAAGTCTGGTCAGCAGTCACCAAATGCACGTCCTGAAAGGCGGGAGGTGGGGTGGGTGAGTGAGACGCAGCCCCACGCCGGCGACCCTGCGTTTCCACAGGGACCGGGAAGCCCGGGCGTGCCTTCGCCTTGTGGGTGGAAGGCGACTTTAGCTCTGTCCTGTGTCCTGTACTGGGGAAGTTAAGCTGCTGAGATTCTGCAGAACTGTTTCAGAGCCGAGATTTGGGGTCCACAAGGAATTTCCCTGTGAGCAGCTGGCAATGGGGGCGCGGGGCGTTTCATCTCTGTGGCTGTCCACGGAGGAAGACATGGGAGGCGCTGTGTGTGACTCCGTTCCCAGCTTGACTTTCCCTTTGACTTAGTGAGTTTTAGGTCCCCAGATTTCGTTCTCCTTTCCCACCTCCAAGAGGCTGACTGAAAACGCTGCTGTCACCCACCTGTCAGTGAGGATTTTCTGGGGAGACTCATGGGGTTGGTGAGGAATGGGCCCTGTCTGGAATCTGCCTGCGGCCCTGGACGCCCCATCCCTCTCTCTGGCTCCGCACAGCCGCACGCTTACCTGTGCATGGCCCCGGGACACTGTTCCCTGCCCATGGTGCCGCTGCCTCCGGGAGGCCTGCCGGGCTGCTTCTCCTTCCTCGAGAGCTGCTGTCCTGACGTCTTACCTGCAAGTCCAGTGTCAATGACTTGGCCAGGTCTCCCCTTAGAAACCAAAGTTCCTCAGGGGCAGTGCCCGCAACTGCACCGAGACCGGCACGCGGTGGAGGGTTGGCCGGTCGAGCAGCCTCAGCCTGTGCAACTTCTGTCGGGATGGGGCCCCCCGCCCTGTGTGTCTGAGGGTCCCCGCCCCGTGTGTCTGTCGTGTGTCTGAGGGTCCCCGCCCCGTGTGTCTGTGTCATGTGTCTGAGGGTCCCTCACCCCATGTGTCTGTGTCATGTGTCTGAGGGTCCCCGCCCC